TTTTTTTTTTTTTTTTTTTTTTTTTTTTTTTTTTAAGAAATATAGATTGCAGATGATTGACTATGAAAAATACGTGTTGGTCCGTCGAATTATGCTGAGAATGTTTGTAGCTCTAACTCGCTGATTTCATGTCTCACCTATTAACGAATCGATCTCGTATCGATCGAGGAACTTTTCCCCATTCTTGATGATATAATCGTGATTATCGTCATCCCAGCCGTCGTTGTAGAGTTTCCTCTCCTTTTTATGCGAGCCATCCTCCCCTTGCATCTGCTGAGCTCTCCGTTTCTTCTTCGCATAATAAACCTGAAGAAGAAAAATTAATGTGATTATGAACGAGCTTGCCGATAAATATTGAAGTATCACTAAATCTCGTCAAGATTCCTTACTAAATGCAAAGCTATCCGGTCGCGAAAGCGCGATCAACTATCGAGACGGATATGAGAACAAATTCTTCACAAATGTTCCACTTATTTCAGCTTATAAAGCTATGGTTGTGTCTATACTTATTATTTTCACGCAATTATTTTCAACAATGCGTCATACGATGCCTCGCATCATTTATTATTATTGAAACGTCTCATAATAGTTACTAACTATTATGAGATATATTATTTAAAATGGAGCTTGTATCGAATCACGATTCGCGTGATTATTGAACTCACTAAGGGAAGATGATTTTCCGTCAGTACAACAGGCCGATTGGATCCTTCGTAATCTGCTTATCCGTATCAATCGATGGGTCTCATAAGATCGCCAAGTAATGAGTTACATAACGAACTATGCGACCCACTACATTCGCGATGCAGAGAGTCCATGACGTTTCGCGCGAGATGAGGAGAGTGAGAGAGAGAGAGGGAGGGGAGGGGAAAGAGGAGAGAATAACGATCGATCTGCTCATACTTCTCGCGGCGAAAGTCGCATTATCGCGAGAATTCGTCTGAGAAACGCGCGCCGGTCGAAACGCCGCCGCAATTGTTCGTCCCAAAAAGCGTCGTATAATTCGCCGTAAATATCCTGTCTACGAGGCGCGGAAGGTAGGTGGAAGGACGGCGCGCGACGAGAAGGGTGGAAGGAGCGACGGCGGCAGAAGGGTGGACGGGTGGCGGTTGGGAGGCAGGGGGAGCAAAAGGGAAAAGGGCGCAGAATCCGATCTGCCGCCTCGTCCAGGAATCGATATGCTCGCGACCACGTGAAAACCACGCCGCCGTTCGTAACGAGAACTTGATCTCGCGTTCATCCGCTCGTACGCCAAGTACGAAAATCGGCGCCGACGTTTGTGTCGTGCGTTGGATTTTCGCTCGGTTGACCGGTGCGAAATTCCCCCAAAGGACGAGCGAAGGGAAAGGGGTAACAGCAGCAGCAGCAACAGCAGCAGCAGCAGCAGCGGTAGCGACGGCGGAGAGGGTGGCGGGAGGAGAAGCCGCGGATCGGGCAGGACGCGGTGGTTGTTCGGTTGGCACGCCTCCACCGGGTCATCGACACGGCGATGGTCAGCGCTGTATCGGCGTCTAGTTACTCTATTTCGGCATCGATTGTACGTCGAAGGAGTACGAGGAGTGTACTCGGCCGCGCGGCGGCTAATGAACTCCCGACTCTTTCGCGGTGCCGCCGCCGCCGCCGCCGCTGCCGCCGCCGTCGTCGTCGTCGCCATCGTCGTCGCCGTCGCAGCGAGGACAAGAGGGGCCGCGGATCGTCGCGGCCCCGGAAGCGAACCCGTAGTGTGGCTGGTCCGCGCGCTTATTTTTGACTTCGGCCCGACGTCGGCTCGATTTACAAAAAGAAAGGGAGCGACCGACGGATAGATATCCGCCGTAGAGAAAGAGAGAGAGAGAAAGAAAAAGAGAGAGAGAGACACGTGCGAATAGTTTAATCCCGCTTGCGAAATCCACTTGCGCCGGCGAGCAAATCGCGTTCCTTCGTCTCTTTAATTCTGCGACGGTCCTCCTCGGTCGGGGATAGAATCAGAATCCGCGTGAGGATCGCACAAAAGCACCCTCCGTCTCTCGTCCGGGCGCGCGAGCAAAACTTTCGTATGCTTATAAAGGCAGCCGTGAAACGCGGTTAAAACTTCACGGCTAGTCACAGGCGCGATTCTTCTAAGACGAGATATAGAACACCGGCGTGACCTTATTTCGCACTGAGGTATATGTGGGTTAGTCGGAAATTTAATTCGCGCGCGTGACGCGCGAACTTCTATCGGCCGATAGCGGCCGCCGCCGTCGCGATCTCACGACGCGATTCTGGACGGGAACTTTTTCGGCACGCCGTTGGGAAATAAGCCGACTCCGGGCAGGAATTTATTGGCCGCGATAATGCGAAGATCACGCGAGCAGACCGCCGCTTTTTCGCGTTATGCACCGTGCGCGCGCGTACACCGACTCGCATATTAATTTATTTTTTGGCCACTTCCACGAAAATCGAAGCGGGAAAGAAGAGGCCAAGGGACAGAAAGCCAGAAATCATCAAAGAGTGAGGCTGTCATCGAGAGGCCCGCGCGATCGCCACCTGCGCTCGATCCGGATCGAGTAGGCGAATCGAAAACGCGAACACGCGGCCCTTCCTCGTATTCTCCTTCATCGTCATCGTTCGTGCCTATGATAATAGGCACACGGGTCCTGAATTCGCTCGTCCCCCGAGTGAAAACACTCCAGCCGAGGTCCGTTCGATTCGTTTCGGCCGCGTGGGTGAGCAGAGGGAACCGGTATGGGCGACGCGAATTCATCGTAGGGCTCACGATTTCATTGTTATCCTCTCTTTCTCTCTCTCTCTCTCTCTCTCTCTCTCTCTCTCTCTCTCTCTCTCTCTCTCTCTCTCT